TGGAGTTTCATAGACTGGTCCATCTTGACCTGGATGATGACCTGATGATGGAGGAGCATTTGAAAAAGAAGGAAGAGCTTCAGAGGTGGTGAAGATCTAAGTTAAGATGGAGGCCAGCAGGTCAGAACACTGAAAATACTATCAAGATCCTGACTTTATTTTCTCTTTGTGATCTTTAGAGCTGGCTTTTTTATCTTATGGCCACCAGGCCATAAGACTCTTGAATTCACAGGACTTGAGGAACAGACTACCTAAATTCTGAATTCTGAATGTTTTGCCTTATTCATTAGGGCCCCCTTATTATAGTCTGGTTGGGAGCTGTGTATTTATTCTGTGTGTGTGTGTGTGTGTGTGTGCGCGCGTGCGTGCGTGCGTGTGTTTGTGTGTTGGGGGGGCAAGCATTATGGCACTTAATAATCTTTGCTGCACTTTAAGTGGGATGGAGGGGGGGGGGGGGGGCGGGGGGGGTCAAGCACTGGTGTCACTTTTACCTCTTGTGCACTTTACTTGGAACTTGCTGCTACTAAGTATTGTACCCCAAACATAATTTCGTTGCCTTTTTTTGACAATGACAATAAATTTTTGAAACTTGAAACTTTGAGTCCCTATTCATAATTCTAACCCTATCTGAATTGGAGAAAGTGCCAGTAAGGGCAAAATCGTGCACCTGCTTGAAAGTTGATTAAAGCTTTGTGTTACATAATCATCCCAACCTGAAAAAGAACAACTCAAATAAACGTTGAAACACACAAAACGAATGGCAGTTGTTCTTTGCATAACTTTTCATCTGTCCTGTGCGTCGGTTATGAGCCGTCAGTTTAGTCTTTGCTCAAAAAGAGGTCATTGTTTAGCACCTGTGTGAAGTGTGTGTGTGTTTGGAAAGGATCTATTGTTGTAGCTATAATGTGCCTCAGGAAAGATCACATGAATAGAAGCAGAGTTGCCCTGAATGTTCTGTAAACATCATCAGCTCCAACCAAAAGCACGCCTTTAAAAGCCAACCCAAATGAGCTCTGCTACCCAACTTTTTAAAAGATATAAACAAACACCTGACAAGATTCTGATATGTTAACGTTTTATTTACAGGACAGCTCAGCAGACTTGACAGCCCTCCACCTGTGGCACATTGAGGTATTTTCAAATGATATGCAAACACATTCCTCTGCAGCCATTCGCTCGAGGAAATGAAAACTAAACTTCAGAGAAAGTTTAGTCTATATGTAATATTTATCCAAAAAAAAAAAAAAAAAACATAATAACACAATAATCGTTTTAAAACCTCAATAAAGAAATAAAGAATATGGAGGGAATTTTGTCCCATTATTTAAACAAACAAGAATTCCTTTTGTAAATGGATTTTAAATACATTTGTTTCAATATTTTACATTTTTAAATTAGGAATGAAAGTTGACATTTCTTTAATTTTCAGATCGAGTCTTGCCAATTGCTTTCTCTTCAAATTGCGTTTTACAGATAATATTTTCTACACAACACGTCCAATACAAACGCTCACTCTTGATGTGGAAATTGAAAAATAAAATGTTGCTAAGAACCAATAGAAATGCATCTTAGCATTTCCCTAGCAGAAGGGAAGTGAATGTGAGATGTAAAATGAAACTTGAAAATGATGCTATTTGTAAAATGCAATGTAAAAAGAACAAATAAAAAGTATAATTTGTAAAAATAGAACATAAAAAAGTAAAAATTGAAAAAGTAATATAAAAATAGTACGGTAAAAAAAAAGATGAAAAAGGGGAAATATAGGGGGATATAAAATCTAAGAAAAAGGCAAACCAACTCTCAAACACTTTTCTCTTATTCTCTCTTATTTCTCTTTTTGCACCCATCTCCAGTTCCAAGGTTAGCAACCTTTCACAGTCAGTCATCTATTCGTGTTTATTTTGCTCATGCACTGCTTTGATTTATTTTAGAGTTTACAATTTTTAAGAACATGTCAAACAAAAAACAATCAAACAGTTAAGAAGTCAATGTACTAAAAGAGAAAGAAAAAAGAAGTAATAATAATATATATATTCAAAATAATTTATGAGTTTCAGTCAGATATATTAAGATTACAAAAATCAAGATACAACATTAGAAAAATTTATATTATTTTCTTTAACATCTAGAACCGTTATTGATAAATTCAAACGTTCATTTTCATTTTTAAAGAAATTTAAAACTAATAAGTTGTGCCAAAATTGTCACATAGTAAAAGAAAAATAGTTGAGTAGTTACAAGAAAAACCGCACAAACATAGAAGAAATTGATACGATGGTTGTTTAAAAAAACAAATGAAAAATAATGTTGACAAAAATTTTTAAGAACATCAAAAGCCAAAAACATAGTAGAAGTTAAATGCATAGGTAGAGTAACAATATTAATATTTTTAGGAGGTTTAATGAGTCAGTTGATTATTCCGAATTTCAGGGGTAGAAACAGAGACATTTCAAAAAGGAAATTTCCTGTGTTTCTATTGAAGGCATAGGATATAGAACATAATTTAAATATGAGGAAAGAAGGCCATTAAGACCCTTGGTTTGCAACAGGATTAGTCTGGAAAAAAAACAACAAAGAACCGTAGGCAAAAATGTCAAGTACTTTTATTAATTGCAGAATTTCAAAACAGGAACAAAACACGCATTCTCAGTATTACGAAAAATACTTCTTTCTAGTTAAATACATAAAGGTTCTTTATTAATCTTAAATTCTCCTTGCAAGATGAAAAGTAAAACTAGTGTTGCATCAAAGTAAAGGGTCTTTAAAAACATAAAAACACAATCAAATATGGTATTTCCAGAAGAATAAGAAAATACTGTAGTTTTTTTGGCTGGGCTGCAGAAAAAAGTAAAATAAGGAATAAAATTCTGCACAAATGAAATTAAATTTCAAAAGAACCATTTTCAGGTTTGCTTTTTATTTCTTAAATAATTTTTTCTATTTATCTGCACAGGGACAATGACATAGACAATTTACTGGTTTTGATATCCTGCATTTATGCCTCTAATTAGAAATATGTCACAAAATCAACTGTAAGGAATGGATATAAAATAAATGCTGGCCATAAAAAATCTAACACAGAAATCCATTATTAGCTGCAAAATGACACTATCAGACTGAATGACCAAAAGTAGCCAGAAAATACATCACAATTTCCAGCAAAATGGGTCCATCCTAATTTTTGAAATATAATGAAACATAAAATATTTAAACTGTTTATCTATGTTTAGAACAGTAACATATTATTTGTCCTGTTTATTGAGAAATGTAAATTAAAAAATAGACAAGAAAACCTAGAAGCATAGTCCTATCTATGGCTGTTATAGAGCGTAAATTCCCAAGAACATACTTAAATATATCAATGATTAAAATATTCAAGAATTTTACATCTGACATAAATATAAAAGATAATTTCATTGTACAAGTGACATCAACAGTGCATATGTGCCATCTCATCTGCACTTTTCCCCTTCCGCCGCTTAGTTGACATTTAAAAAACAAACAATAAATAAAAATCTGTATTTTCCAAAATTTTACATAACCTGAACACTAGAGGCTGTTTAGGGTCTCTTCACTTTTATTTAAGATATAGATTGAAAGTTGCTGAAAAACAGTTGGACTCGTAAACTCAACAGACATTTCCCTGATATTTTGGTGTTTTTAAAAATGAATTTCCTTTTATTGCATATTTTTCTCAAGTATTAATTGTTATATCTGCTGTCCCATACTGCTAGGAGTTTGTTCTGTATCTTTCTCCTGTTCGTCATCTAGATCTTGATGATTATTTGTATCCTCTTTGCGAAAAGGGCCTGAGTGAAAGCATTTGGTACACAAAGCAAGGGTTCATCTTTCCCCAGAAACTAGAAAATGTAAACACAGCAGCATTGTTGTTGTGCCTCCTGGCTGCTTCAGGGCTGATCTTCAGGCTCATTTGCTGCTTTAAAATGAGCAGATAATAATTTCTCTTAAATGAATGAACAGCTTTCTAACAGTCTTAGCTATCATAGAGTCACTCTAGTAGTTAGTTAAGCAAGGCTAACTTCAAAACAGATTTAAAGTCCCTAACTCCCTGTAAGAAACCAAAACCAAGCTTATGTTATTATCATATTATACATGTTTTCATTTCCAAAATTCAGCACCAGACCCTGCTCTAATATCAAGGGCTATGTCAGATTAAACATTATTACTTAGAAAGACAAGTAGGACTTGCTAAATGTTGCCTTGCTAACCCTAACTTGCACTACAAGCTCATATTTCTCTGCATTATAGATATTCAAACACTAAAGCAACATCTTTACAAATAGAAGCTGCACCATTTAAGCCCCTGGTTTAATGCAAAAGGAACTATGAAAAGTGCTAAAAAAAGTTTATATCTGCAACTTTTTTACGGAAGATGATAAGGGCCACTGAAAAGAAAAATAAAAAAAGTTAACTGATTGTTACATTTTATTTCAGTATAATATGAGAAAAAAGTAATTCTGACTTAAATCTCAGAATTCTGACTGTATTCTGACAACTAAAAAACATGTTTGCATCCAGCCGTAGCCATGTCTGTTTTATAGACTAAACTAGCTCTCTTGTTTTAATCACCTTCTGCTTTTCCATTAATGAAATAGCATCACTGGGGACCCCTCAGGCACGTAAAAAGTCGCCTTATTTCATAATTTTTCACCAATGTGTTACTGGCCCTCCAAAACAACTCACATATTTGTCATTGAAGATGAGTGCTCCCACATCCCTTCCTTCATGGTGCCCATCTATATTAAGATCCAAAAATCTGAGAAAAAGTCAGCATTCTGAGATTAAAGTAAGAATTCTGAGAATAAAGTCAGAATTCTGAGAATAAAGTCAGAATTTTGAGATTAAAGTCAGAATTCTCAGAATAAAGTCAGAATTCTGAGAATAAATTCAGAATTCTGAGATTAAAGTCAGATTTCTGAGATTAAAGTCAGAATTTTTCCATATAAAACTGAAATAAAATTAAAAAATCCATTAACTTTTTTTAGTTTTTGCAGTATCCTCTTCCGTATTTGTTGTACCTGGCAGCCATCTTGGATTTTTGAAATCTGGCCTGCTTGGAGATATATAACTTTTAGGGTCGATTTCAGTGTTTTTTCCTGCAGTTTTTAAAAAATCCAACCCCTGAGTATAAAAAGAGCATATCAATAGTGTAGTAAAACGCTTTATAAAAAGGTATTCATATGAACAACAACATTTTTAAGACTCCAGTCGTATAAAATACAGACTAAGAATTAGTCCCACTTTGCAGAACTTCTAAGAGTGTACTTTTTTAGTCTATTTAGTTAAAGGGGTATGTTGATATTATCATAGTCACATTATTGTGTATGAATATATAAGAAAGAGTAAAAACTATATGATCATGAAAATAAGGTAATACACTTCAAGCGTCCAGTCCGATTGTGTTTGAAAGTCATTTTGAGCCTAAATAGAATTCCAGCACCAGGTGCGATGAACAGACGTAAACAGATCCGTGCATAACCTGCTGGCAGTACTACGGTATTGACGCAGCTGCTTACTAGAACCCCAGCATCTGGAAATGCTTTGCGGTTGTAGTGTTGCATTGTGATTTAACTAATTTAGCGTGTCCTGCCAGTAAGCCTGCTAATGAAGCCTGTCCTTGATGGTTACAACAACCCTGCGTCCACATCTACTGCTTTAATTCAGGATTTAGTTTAGCAATAAAGTGACAGTTGGCCGTTCAATTCAATCCTCCCGAGAGCCTCCTAAGAGAACATCAAGGGGGGGAAAAAATCCCTGTATCTACCAAATGTAAACAAGGAAAACGCATGAAGTTAAGAATAATTTTGATGAAATAAGTTAAAAAAGTCTTAGATTTAAATCATTTTTAGTTGAAATGATTAACTTTCTTGGCTCATTGATTCCTTGTTTTCCCATCATGTACATGCATAATATAAAACATCTGGCCACTTGGTTTTGTTGTGTTAAATATACACAAAAAGGCTTAATCTACCAATAAACGGAGCAAAAGCAAAAAGCACAAAAACACAAATGATAAACCAGCAACAAGCCATTATTTTTCAGAAAAGGTTGTATGCAACCAGAATAAGCTACTGATGTATTAAATTAAAAAGTCATATAACTTTTCAAATTAATACTAAGACAAACTAATAATAAGACTATGCCCCATTAAGCTCATTTTCTTTGTTTAAAGTAAATATGTTTAAGTTATCATTTCAGTCTAAGCTATGACAATGATCACTAGGATTGAGATGAAGGTCATTTTGCCAACTTTCAGTTGAACACTTGAAAACAAAGTTAATGCCATGGTTATCGGTCAGCACCGTTTCTGGGTCTTTGGAGAGCTGGAGAGGACAATGCGAGGGAATCCAACAGACCATTCATCAAAGGGCCAGTACTTCAGTCCAGGCAGTGAATAGGGTATTTCATTGTTGGCATCCAGGTAAGCAATAAGCGTAGTGCCATAGGCTACAGCCATCACAATGAGAATGTGCCTGAAAAACATAAAAAGAGGCTAGAGTATGTCGAGTAAAATAAAGAAAAACAACCGCTGACCTAAAATCAATCAGAAACGCTAACATTCACCACTTTAACCTTTACCTTTCTCTTCTATCCAACTGTATTAATTTATTCCAAAAAAATCCGTTCTCCTAATTTTGTAGCATTTTTCATTGCTGAACTGCTTCCATTACATTTATGTAGTTGCTATATTTTTTGTCCAATCAGATTGCAGCCATAGTGCGTTGCTATGTCAATTCAATCTGCCCAGGGCCTGCAGTATCAGCAGCGCTGGCTGATGTTAACCATTATACTCCCGCTGCAGTGTGTCGCAGTGAGCTTGTCGCAGATATTTTTGAGTTATGCCCAATTTGAAGCGTGGTCGGCACTATGTTAATCCACAGCAGATGGACAAACAAGAACTAGCTGTGGGTCTAGATACAGCTGAGGAGGTGAGGAAGTGGGGGAAAGTTTGTGCGACAACGGAGGGACATGAGGGTGAAAAAGAGCGGGGATCCAGGTGGAAAAAGGGTCCAAGCATTCTTGCGCACCTCACTCTTCTAGCTGGTCCAACCTTACGAATTTTTTCCGCAATGGCGGTCATACAAACAGTAAGGTGCCAAACAGGAAATACGCATAGAGTAGATGTAGATTTGACCAATCAGAGGCCTTCTGTCTGCGGCACTGTCTGCAGTCACTTACAGTTTTGCAGAGGTGCAGCAGAGTGTCTGTGGAAGGAATGGGGGCATATCTGCTTTCACTGCGACACACACACGCAGACTGCCTGGTTTCTGAGTATAAATCAGCCTTTAGTCAGGAAGCCAGCCAATGGGTCCACCCTAACATCACCATTTTCTGTCCTCTGATTGGTCAGTTAGAACAAAAATGTTTACCGCCTAGTTAAGCTAGCGACAAATTGCATTTCAGGTTTGCTTTTGTTAAATGTTTTTCTGGCCTCAAGGGCTGTTATTAAATGGAGGTACTAAGACTTCCTGCACAAAGACAGAGGATGGATTCTGTTTATAAATAATCAGCATCGCTGCTGATTGTGATATACTTTATATGTCACATATAATATGCATATTAAATCTGAATGGCTACTGATGATGTAACTGTTACAGAGCTGTGGTTATAGAATAGAGGTTTGCTATTTTCTTAACTGGGCTTCTTGCTTAATTGATCTCTGTATTCACCCTCACACTGATCTTCCTCTCAGTTATACCTGCGCTAGTTACATTTCGTATTTGAATTCTATATATTCTCTTTTTATATATATAATTTATATATATATATATATATATATATATATATATATATATATATATATATATATATATATATATATATATATATATAGGGGTAGAGCATGAAACGGGCCTTGAAAGTCAGCCCGAAACCGACCCGAGTCCGAAAGAACCAGGCCCGTGCCCGGCCCGGCCCGTTATGATTGACAGCTTCGTAGAGCCCGACCCGTTTGCAGCCCGACATTTTTCAATTGTGCGCATTAAGGGCTAATCTCCGTTTCACTTCTGTAACATCCATTTTGCATTCATCGCATATAGATCGAACGTTATCACATGATCATTTATTTGCCGCGCATATAACGGTTTAAAGCCCGAGCCCGGCCCGGCCCGAATGAAATAATAAAAAGTACAGCCCGAACCCGCCCGAACCCGGCGGGACCTCTCGGGTCCCGTCGGGTTCGGGCTAATATTCCCTGCTCTATATAGGGGTGCCTACTGAAGGCCTTGGTACCAGATGCACTGATGTATAGATATAAATAGCTAGATATCTGTCTGCCTGTCTGTCTATCTCATCTATCTCCTTTATGAATATGAAAGGGCATCTCAGTTTTGCTTGATTTCCTGGTTGACAAAGAGTTTTTATTTAACCTGCTTTGTGAACTGGACCTCAGCAGTGTTCCTAAGCCAGAGCCTTGGAGGACACCAGTAGAAGCAGTAAATCAACTGGAATTGAGATAACAACTTTATATTCATTGTGTTCTGTGAGAAAGGAAACGATCAGACCAACCAACTTTCTAATCAGAAGCTATGTTTCCACCACTAAAATTTGAATTTGAAGCAAATTTTAAATACTTTTTTAAAAATTAAAAGTGAATTAACAAGCACTGCAAAGTGTATCTGCATCCTACATCGTTGTCTGCATTACATTGTCATGCATGGCTGTAAAAAACAGCAAGCAATCTAGCACTGCAATACTTCAAAATACACATTAGAAATAGCTGATGGAAACGCACTTAGAGATGCCAGTAAACTGCTTTTTGTCTTTATCTGTCCTCGTCTCCAATAAAACTAAATAAAGAAAAAAAAAACCCAGACATCTATAACTTATAGATTTATATTTCTATAGACTATAAGGATGGTTGCACACTGAAAATAAAAATGTATCTGATGTATTTAGGAATAAAACAAAGCAAGTTAATAGAGGTCTTACCAGATCCCGTGAAGGTAGCAGAAGTTTAACTGCTGCCAGAAACTGCAGCACAAACGGTCGCTAATCCAGCAAGAGATGGCGAGCACCCACAGAGCCACCGAGAGCTTGGCGAGACGCAGAGCCTTCTGGTCAGTACAGCTGGAGTTGAGGAAAGGTTTGCAGTCACTATGAAGCAAAGCTGCATGTTTTTATTTTCACAGCAATAAATAAATAAATGTACCATCTCATCTCCAGTGCTAAGGTGTAAAGAAGGTGGAGCCCAAAGCAGTTTAAGGCGTAGGCGTTTGCTGTAGGTTTGACAAACGATGACACAGAGGTGACGACGGTAATCAAAAGGACGAGCCGGGAAAATGTAGACCTGTGGTTGGGAAATCAGTAGAAAAACTTTATGGAAACAAATAAAATTCACATGATGTTAAACTTATGAAACAAATGCAAAAAGAAACACAAAACTTTAGCAAGGGAGGATAAACACAGACTGGTTTAAAGGGAAACTGGCAAAGTAATGTTTTTCTAATCTTCTAAAACTACATGTGAGACCCTGTTGCTTTAGAAACAGGCAACATATTTAATTGTGTTTTTTTTTTAGGTTAAATATCAACTCTAACTCTTTGTTGCTGTTTTTGCTGTGCTTTTCTGTGAGGTGAAGGCTGCAGCCTTTAGTCTCTAGAACACCTAGATCTAAACGTTTTGCACTGTGGGCCAAATTTACAAATTTAATTGGTGGAGAAAATGTGTTCTATCGACTACCATCGACAGAGATGATAACTTTCTCAAAAAACATTTTTCTGGTTTAGCAAAGTTTGTGTGGTCCTCCATATAATGTTTTATGAAAGCATTAAAACTTGGCTTATGAATGAATCACACTTTGTGTTGTACCTAAAATTTTTCATTAAATTTGTGAATTTAAAATCTTTTCCTTAAAAAAGCATTACATATGCAGCAGCTCCATCTGCTATTGTACAGAAATGGCAATGCTTTGTAGGTCTCTGCTCTAAGTAATGAATCCTGTCGTGTACTGCAGCTGTCTCAGTACAGGTTAGGTTTCTCTAAGTACACAGAAAAGTCCATTATCCATTCTTTAACGGGCTATTAAGGTGTGTGAGTCTTGAAAGTTACAAATATACTAGTAGACCCTGTACTAACATGTTGGAGGGTTGGGCAGTGATTTGTCACCCGGTCAAAGCAAAGCTTACCTGTCTTTGATAAAGGAAGGGAACAGTTTACGAGGGAACCAGACTGCATATCCCACAGCCAACACCCACAAGATGGAGAGTTCATCCAACATCTGACCTACGAAGCTAAGAGTCATGTGGAAATACGCAGAAAAAAGACCTACAGAAAAAAGAGTAATAGACTCTGTTACTGGGAAATGTTTCTGCTTTCACAGAATCAAGGCGACAAACAGGATGAACACGTTAAAACTGACATTGAGGAGGATTCTTGAGGTTCATAGATCCCTAAGATTAACAGGCTGTTTGTATCAATATACTAATGTTAGTTTACCATGAGCAGTATAAAAAACATGATCTTTATTAAGACCTAAAATGGTCCATAAAGCAAACTGTATTATCTTTGTGTGATGATCTGTTGTTCTGGACTGAAATGCAGACTTATGATCTGAATAGTAAGTTTTGAAAATTCAGTGAAATAACTGAGACAGATGAGCAAAGAACCAGACATGGATACATGAAGCAAAACTTAACTTAATCAGGGATAAATCCCTGCATAGCCAGGATTTTTGGTTTATTCCGGCAAGTTACAAAATAATAATAACTGAACTTTATTGATCTCAGATTGTAGAAATTTAGCTCTGCATTTAACCCATCCCCTTGGGGAGCAGTGGGCTGCCATCATGAGGCGCCCAGGCAGCTGTGTGGGGTTAAGGTACTTGCTCAGGGACCCAGAGTGGCAGTGGGAGGGGGGCTCAAACTCAGAACCTCAGGATACCAAGTTCTATACTCTAACCACTAGGTCGCCACTCCCTAAGTGTAACTTTTATTAAACGAAATGGCAAAGAACTGTCCCTTCATTCAGTACAGGACTACATTGTCTCTTTGGTTCTCCATCTCTCTTAAAATATATCTTTAATTATAAACCATGGCACTGTTTTTTTTCTACATACTTTTTCTGTGCCCCCATGAAAACATGCTGTCCTCACCCTGGCCCAACCAAATAAATTTGATCTAGAACCGCTGATGTCTGCAAAACAACTCTGGTCTATAGCAGAATTTTTAGACGTTATCCTCAGTTTGTTGCATTTTGTGCTGAGATCAGGGAGAAGAAAAGCATCCGAAATTTGAGTTTTCGTTACTGTAGGAACCTGTAGATGTTGGAAAGCAAATGTTTATTATGCTACATGCAATTAGATGCATTTCTGATACAAATCCATAGATTTCACCTTCACATTTTCACCAGAGTCAACAATTCAATTCAGTTCAATTAAGTTTATTTCTATAGCGCCAATTCACAACACATGTCATCTCAAGGTACTTTAAAGTTCAGCAGATCATGCAGTCAAATTGATTCAAAGTTTTCTATCTTAGGATAACCAGCTGATTGCGTCGACTCATTGACTCCAATGCAGTCCCTCACACTAACCATGCTTGTAGCGACAGTGGAGAGGAAAAACTCCCTTTTAACAGGAAGAAACCTCCAGCAGAACCAGGCTCAGTGTGAACAACTAATCTTAATTAAATTAAAATATTGCTCATACAACAAAACAAGGACAATTTCTTGTTGCTGCACTTGGTTTTTATGCTTAACGTAAACTGTCAGTAATGGGACAGTGTACTGTTATCATACAGCTCAGATAGCGACTAACTTTATGATCATTTCTGCAAAGTGTCATCAGGCTCCTTTGGTAGAAAGAGGAGTTTCCCTACTTGTTAAGTGCAACTCAGGGGGGGTTAAATCCAACAATATTTTACAAAAGAGCTACGAAGACAGAAAAGATCCAAAAATGTAGTACCTATTTTAAGCATAGTAGGGTAATACAATGTCCGAAATCTATTTAGATAATTTTGGGTTTCCAGGCTGAATTTCCAGCATACATGGCGATCACATTCACTGCTTCCCCACCAAACAGAGGGGTTGTTTCAGTCTTTTAATACTATTTAGATGTTCTCTTGTAAATATACCTTATATAGCTATTTTCAAAGGAGCTTTATGTGTGCTAAAGTAATCATTCAAATTAAGTCATAATGCTTATCTTCTTATATAATATTAACTGCACTAATAGAATAAAGCCAACAGATATTGTGTAATTCAGGTAATAAAGGTTAAATATTTACTGCTGCGTTCCTCTTGCACCTGCTGGGTTACACCTAGACTCATATTTTCTGTGCACAAAGAAATTTTTTTTTTTATGTCAAATTATTGTTGAGAATATAACTTTAATTCTATTTCAAACCCCAGTCATAAATTTACTTGTCTCTGCTATTGTAAATCTTCTTATTTTGCACCAGGAAGAGTATTGCTTTTTCCATAAAATCCATACTGTATTTACACCGATGTATCCTATAGTATAGTATGTAGCGTAACATTAGTATTTTACTATTTCGGACTCGAAGATATTGACTGATTTAGTCATTTGCATTGTGTCTGACGTTAAAAAAAAGAAAGTAGAGTAAATAGAAAGTAATTCACTGTGGAATGTTAATGTAGTAATTCTTTATAAAGTGGATTATGCTGTCTTTTTGTAGTGTTTGTCTTATTTATATTCTCATTTGAAATAGTAATCTGCTAAAATATATTGTTATATTGGTAAAGAAAAAGCAACTAAAACATTTAAAATTAAAATTTACAGACACAGCACCAAAGTATATGACATCATGCATAATTTGCAAATAGAAAATAACATAGCATTAACAGACATGTTCATGTAATTCAGTCTTGACCTGAAATCTTGAAATTATATGTAAAATATTATTACTACAACAATGTAATAAATACATGTATATTACATGTACATAATCATTATAGCACATTTGGAACATCTGTATTATCATGCTTTTTTTTAAATCATAAGTTAAGTAATCTACTGATGCTATAAAACAGCAAGTGAGGAATTTATTTTTATTTTAATAGTCTTAAGCCCCCCTGAAAATGAGAAAATCATTGTTGTTCGATGCTGTAGCGCACATATTGTTTACAATGCGACCAGTCTAACTAGGGAGTACCAATATGAGTGAATTCACTCCACCCCGTACTACCAACAGACTATCAGCAATCCAGTGAATCAATACATATCAGTGGAACAAATGCTCACATGACATTTGACAACTTGTTAATCCTGTGCTTATAGAGGAGTGGCGAGAAGAAAGCCCTTCTTGGGATAAAGCCATTGATAGATCCAAAAATAAGGAGTTCTGAATAGACTAAATCTTTTTTTTGCCTGCTGGTTAATCCTGGAAGAAAACTTGTTTGAGGGCGGAAAAGACAAAGATGCATTTAAGGAACCTCCATAGAAAGTCTGATTTCATTTCCACCTCTGTAAAACACACTGGTGGCATCATCAAAACTCAAAATTTTCCATTTAATAAAAAAGAAAAAACTGCTTAAGATCGTCTTGAAGACAAACGGTTAACATGCACCTTATGTGGGTTAATTATGTGGGTGTGCAGTTGAGTTTAACCTTTGTACCCTATAATGATAAATGTTAACATCACGGCTACTTTAATAGACCAAAGAAAATATCTAACCAGGCCCACATTTTTGAGAGTTTTCAGTTATGACTTTATTAGTAGCAAACACTGTGATAACTTTTCAAAATACTGCACCTTTAACAAAATGATTAATCTATCCTATGTAAAATAATATTTGTTGGTGTAGTGTTTCTTTACTTTTTGAATGTGTGCAAGACATATGCAGTATTAGATGTATATGTCCCGTTCTTCATGCCGACCACAATTTGGTGCATTGCGTGCTGCTTGAGCAGGCAACAGATCCTCACTAGCGAACAATCGGAGTGAGTAGTGGGTAGTGGGAGGGAATAGCCACTGATTGAGAAAGGCTCCTAAAATCCCAAATATCACACAGATGAGTAATTTGACTCAGAATAACTGTTCTCTACTCAGAATAGAGTTATTCCATTTTCTGAGACTAGGCCCAGATGGAAAGGGAAATCAAACTAAAGACTTAGGTATTGAGGAATACAAGTGAATGGAATCTACTAATTAATTTCGGCTTAGGGAGAAAAGGTTTAAACAAGGATAAACAAGGAGAAGAAAAACTAAGAAAACCAATTTAACACAACGGAACTAATGACGAGACAAAGTAAATGAAAACCTACTAAGGAACAGCTTCTGTTCCTTTATCTTTTCCCAGAAACACTGGGTAAAGATAAAGGAACAGAAGCTGATTTGCTAACATTACTAGCTGCAGCTAAGAGGAAAACAGTACTGTCTCAAGAGGCGGGATCTCCTGAATAATAGCCAATTACAGGCAGTTTACTTTCTAAGGTTGGTTCCAGCCTCAAAGTGACAAAGGTCGACATTAACCCAGAGAAACAGGTTCACAGGAGAGTAGGAGAGAATCTACAGGTGCATAAAAAGCAAGAGAATGCAGGTATATTGGAGGCCTCATGGTGTTGAATCTGCATGCATGCATATTCAAAATGCACATTTAGAGTGTGTTATATGCATAAAACTGCTCAGATTAGTATTTATTATTTGTGTGCGCTTTTGGCAGAGTTTTGACTTCGTATTTCCAGTGTTGTTTTTCACTTGCACGCAGTTATATCATCCGTCAGATCTTGAAAAATCCAAAGAGAGGCTCTGGAACATGTTCACAGGATCAATATGCAGAAATACCGGATGCCCACTGTTAAATATGGTGGAGGATATGTATCTTTTAAAGGCACACTATGCAACATTTTTCAGTTAATTAATGTGTTCCATAACTTTATGGATGATTAAATGATTCATTTCAGGTTGAACAAAGGTATTCTCGGCCGCCCTGGTGGTCTGTGGGGGAAATACCGCACTTGCAATTGCAGGAGCGCCGACCCGCACCCACAGGCTCAGAAGTCTTGCGAGAGTCAATCTTGCTTTACGGCGAGAACTGCTACACGCCCCCAGTTAAAAGCATTCTCGTTGCTAGCACAGTGGCGATCTTTGTGCAGTTATGCTACGTTCACATCGGACGCAGCAAAAGCAGCATAATCGCGTCTGCTGCTTCATTTTTGCTGCTTGTACCAGTTAGTTCTGACGCGCGGCTGAAGCCGCTTTGCTGCTCTGGCTGCGCGGTGTAAAAGTGGGTCTGACGCGCGTTGGGCGGAGCTTCACTATCCTTTCTCTGCCTTGCAGCTATATTTGCTGTGATCAGTGGGAATAAAGTAGTTTTAATATGTGTTTAAGTGAGAAAATACACCTGAAAATGTAATCAGTGGCGTCAGTTCATTCAGATTATTATCCTGCCTTTAATATTTTTTCTGTCGGAGCCGCTCAGACCCCCACATACCAGCGGTGCGCCGACAGTAGGAATCCCTTCATCAGCAGCCTCTGGCCGGGTCGCCTCCTCGCGGTTCACCGCGGCAGCTGGTAGGTGTTTTTCATCTAAATAATCCAAACTGCATATTCTGCCGGCAGATTTCTGCATTTTAAGTTAATTTAGGCGTCAATAAACTGTTTAAGAGGAGTGATCATAGCCTATGATCATCAGCGCTGTGTCTCTCTCCCTGCGTCAGATGATTAAACGCGCCTGACGCGCTGCTTCAGCTGCTCAGACGTGCTGCGCCTGCTGCTTAAAACGCGCTGCAGGACCTTTTGCTGCGCCTTGACACGCGTCAACCATTGACTTTGCATGTAAACTCGCTGCTTCTGTCGCGCCAGCTGCGGTGTGAACGCAGCATTAGTCAATCATTGCGTTCGCCTGTCTGCTAAGCTCAAAACAACCGCGCCTGGCTTGATGGAGAAACCAGGAGAACAGCTGTGCATATTTACGACAGTGCACTTTTACTTTCGCCCTCTGGGGGGAGCCTCGCTGGAAAATCAACACCGGTTGCATAGTGTACCTTTAAAAGCCAAAGCAAACCAAGCTGAACTTTGTTTTTAACCTCGGGGTATTTTTTTTCCCTATTATGTAAAATAATAGGGAAATAAATAAATAAATAAACTCAAATTTAATCACACATTACAAATACTGTGTGCGAGTTAATGCTGACTTTCACAAACTTACTTTATGAAGGTTTGCAAAAAAAAGTTTCACCTCAAATTAACATTAAATGCCTTAGTAATGTATTTTTTACAGATTTTTTTAATGTATGTTACTGCCACAAATAAGAGTAATTTAATGTAAAATAGAATTAGATAAAAATAAAGTGAACTTGCCAACAAAAATCATCATGATCCAGACCAGATGGATCGCCAGGCTCCTCTGTTTGGCATAGGGATGCAGCAGGTAGAGCATGATTGGTGCAACGATGAAGAAATAAAAGCTGCTGACCTGCAGGGAAAACAACAAATCAGATGGTGGAAAATGACTGTAGAATGTCCTGAGCAGGGGCTGATGACTTTAAACATCAAACCACATTAATCCACCCGTGAGGAGTTTACCGTGTTGAAATACTCCACCACATGTTCTGAGTATCTGTAGTTTTCTTCACACCAGTCAATTTCTGAACTTTGATAGGCGAAAGCGTCAGCCATCTTTTCACTGGAACAGAGGCCTGAAAGGTTGCAAGAAGAACAATTATTCAAATAAAGGTCAGTGTAAAGGTTTAGATTCTCATTGGATGGAAATTAGCGTTTGGCTACACACCGGCATGTTTACATTCATGTGTTTTTCACGAGTGTAGATTAACATGCACTATACCAATTAAATCAATAGATAAAATAAAATTGAAGTGGTTCCAAACAGTTTAATCCTTTAACTTTTTCAGTATATCATAGACAAACCACTCTTACTGGATCTGAAGCTGGGGTTGGCTAAGAAGCCCACATTATTTTCAAACTGGAATTATAACTTCAGAGGTTAATGTATGAGCTGTTGAATTCAAGCTTAAAAAATAGGCGCTTCTTAGTTCCAATATAAAGTCATACTAAAGCGTACAGAGTTTATACTTCCTTTCTCTGCCTTTATGACATTGATCTTGTCTCTATGACATCACTTATGTTTATTGGTTCGGTTTGTGTCAACTATCTAAACACGTGAGTGTCTGCAGCTTTTCATTCTCATTGGTCAGAAATGAAACTGCATTATAACGCTCAGTTGAGCTGTAGATGGAGAATTGTTTGTGTTATATAGCTCTGTCCTTACACATTAGATTGTTTTATTAGTTTATGATCAACTCTGTGACCAAATCATGCAACCGCTCTGTGCTATCTTATGTACATTGTGCCTTTATTTTTCTGCTGATATCAAGCTTTAGAACACAAAGTTTTGTCAGATCTAATAGCTTAGAACCTGATGGGGATGGATTCCTGAAACCAAGGATGCTGAAGTTTTCCCCTGTGTGCAGTGATGATTTGAACGGGCATGTTGGTTTAAGAACATGCAGGAGCCTCTGTTTTGCATTTTTGAGGGTTTTCTTATTGCAAAACAGCAGGTTTTTGCAGCACCTGATTAAATCACTTGAATCAGGTGAGATGAAGCAGAGTTGCACCTAAAACACAAGGGAACACAGTGGAAAAACACTTTTCCACAGGAGTAGACGTCCTAGATAAGGTTTACAGGTACAATATATAACCTTTTGCCATTTAACTATTTAAATTAGCTGATAACTCCACTCTAGGATTAATCTCTCACGCACTGAATACACTCCCTGTGTCTTGTGTATCACTGCACAAGGGTCATATATTTTATACATTGGTGTCAGGCTTTCAGGTTATTTGTTTTTTATGTTTACAATTTGTTTTACAATTTCATTGACTCCTGTTGGTCCTGTTTTACAGACTCTGAATAAACTGCCAACATTCTGTGTAAGATCTCTTTTATTTTAAGTTTCCTTTTGCCCTCCTTGTTTCTGACTGATTATCTGTGAAACAAGCCTTGTTAAACAAACAATGCAATTTGGACCTCTGATTCATACCTGATCTTATCTCATATCAAAGATAAATAACATCCCTCCTTTTTTTGATTAGTAACAGACAATAAACATGTTCATAGTGGATTTTAATTATTAACTAAAGGCATGGATATAACACAGATATGAAACATACATTTAAGTAGTTTTTATTTAGTTATACCCAATAAAAATATATTTTTAAGCATATTTGGAAATAGATACACAGGTACATCACAAGGTTCAAAGGATGTGAATTCTTGTATATAGGAATTTGAGGAGGTTTGGTAAGTTTAAACTTCAACCATTATCCTGATACCTAATGGGTTAGAATGAAAAACATATTCAGAAACAAGTTGATGTCAAATATATCCAGAAAGAAAAAATAGCAAGTTCAGAGTCTGGTAAGTAATTAAAATATATTTCCGAAGAATTTGTACCTTTATTGAGATAGTCTGCAAGTTAAGGACATTTAAAACAACTGCCAACCCAGAAAGGAAGCTGTAAGGTACCAACAGAAGTCTCAGAAAACCCAACAGTATCTTCACAGGACTTCCAGCAGGCTTTGTTTGCATAGTGTCTTTACATTAAGAAACAGACTGAACAAGGTGTGCAAGGAGGAACTACGTGTTCTTTAGGAAGAAAATAAAAAGGCTACAGTCACCATAGAGAATGAGCTCAAAGTGTGAAGATTAGAGTTGGATGAGCACAGAATCCACCATTACTTTGTATCACAGCGTAGACAATAAGTTTAAAAACAGAATTAAATGCTGAAATATGACTATAAGTATAAACATAGCATAGCAGTAAATCCCCAAAAGATTGTCTGAAAATTAAGGAAGGGAGAATCCAGCCAGAGCCTAGATTTTGAGCTCATTGACATTAAATGGGCTGCTAATGCTTGAATCTCCTAAAACAACTTAGAGCCTAAGATGTGGGGGGTGGGAGAAACTTTCCTGCAGAGATTTGGTTACAGGTAGCATCTCTGCACAAAGAAGTAATCTTTTTTTTTTTTTGACTGAAAGTAATATCAACATTCTGGACAGGCTAAATCTTTGGAAATTATTTAAGATTAGGGTGATAGCAGGGAGGCCTTTCCCATATCAAAGACCTGGAAGTCATTCCAAAATAAAGGGATGGTCAGCATTCAATAAAAGGTTTGATTGCTGTTATGTAAAGCAAACATTCTTCTATTGATTGTTGGGAAGGGTTCTAAATAATTTTTGGTATTTCCAAAAAAAAAAAAAAAAAATCTGTAATAAATTTTGTTAAATATTTTGTCAGATACCTTCCAAAAATAAGAGGCATTACATATGCTTTCCTATTAAGAAGCTAAAGAAGCATGCAGAGGAAGAATGCAGGTAAATGACAATGATACAATGGTCATCAATGTTCGCCTCATCTGATCTGTTTTAAAAACGTAAAAAAAAATACACATTCAGATTTAAATAATTCTTAACTAATAAAGGAATAATTCAAACATAGTGTATAATTCATGAAAGGTCAATAAAAGGTCATATTAGTGCTCTTCCTATTTGCATTGGGACCCCATTACACCTGGTCCAATTTAAACTCCCTCTCCAAATCCAGTTTTGATTATTGTACAGTAATAACAGAAATGATGGAACGTTTATTAACTAAAAAAAAAAAGTTCTACAGTCAGATAAGATTATTTCACGGGTTTAAGATTTAAATTTTTAAACTGGAGGAGATTAAAGATGCTCAAAGTGAAAAAATCAGGTAAAATGCTCTTTGAGAGCCAATTAAGGCTCGTTCCTGTATTATACATGTTTTTTTTTAAAGAAAATTTTCAAATCCTAATAAACAAAAAAATAAAAGCTTAAAAACATCAGTGTGTATTGAGTCTATATCATGCGTTTTATTTAGTGAGGATTTAAACAGCTATTTAGCCATGTTTACATGGCCAATGTTCAGGTAATTATCATTAAGGTAACAGTTTAACATCTCGCCAATCTGAAAATACGACATCCATTAAAATCCAGCTAAATATCAGTGGTTCTTAGTGAGCTATCAGAGAGCCTACCTCCCATGGCTGCGCTCCTCGGTGCCGCTGCGCTCCCAGCGCTCCGACAGGTGGATCAAAGGGGCGGACTCCCGCTGTTACGTCATCCGTAGAGCCCTCTGTCCAGCGTCGTTAGGGTTACAGGTATTTAAATGTAGAAAAAACAAAGCTAAACGGAGGGGGAAAAAAAAGATAAATAAATAATATATATTAAGTATCTATCTCGTTAGTCCTGCTTTAACATGAGTCAGAGCAGAAAAGGTTAAAGGGCAGTAAAGCTTCTGTACTCTCTGCCAACATGTGTGGATTATCCCTGCTCTTACTCATTACAAAACAAACTGAACCGGTCGAGCTATTTCAGAATAAAGTATAAACGCAGCTGAGGGCGGTTCAGCTGGAAAGGTGAAGGGATTTCTAACTGTGGGGTGTTTCCTGAAAAGCTGGATGTTCAGTTTCTTTAACAACTGTTTAAGGTTCATCCTCCTCCTTCTTTCATCCTTATATTCGATTTTAATTGAACTTGAGGTAGATTTGGGGTCTCTGAAAATCCTCACACATTTTATATTTGGTGGTTTTCTGCCCCTAACTGATTCTGGATGAGTTTTTTGTGGTGTTTGTAAACAAATTTAAACCACCTTTGAGACATTAAACTGCAAAATGACTCATAACTCATCAGATGAGTCAGGTTTGTTTTACAAAACAGCCAGCTTAGTGAACAATCAATTTTATATTTGGCTTTTAGATGATTCCTTTTCAACTTGTCACAAAAACGTACTTATTTTATAAGGTCAGTACATCTCTGCAGTACAAGTGCAATAATCCAACTGAACTACTGTGTAGTCAAAAGTACACACATGTGTTACTTAAGTAGAAGTATAGATACTGCAGTTTAAAAACACTCTGGTAAAAGGTGAAGTATCAACTTGACCTCTTTACTCAAGTAAAAGTGAAAAAGTATGTGCTCCAAAAACTATTTAAAGTATAAAAATATAAAGTAACCTTTAAAAAAACAGCCAGATGCCACTATATGAATTGAAAGCTCAATTTATCGACTATTTGGAAATCTTCTTAGAGATAGGGCCAAGGATGAGGGAGGTCTTGCTGGTCTCCATCTCCCGATACGCTCTCGCCTGTGTCTGACCTTTCAGACTCCTTTAGCTAACCAATGAGAGTTTGCGTTATATGACTCATCCAATTACACTAGTTTTCACTAGCACATGACCTGAAATAAATATTCATAAACATTAAACCGAAGCCAAGAGTAATAAGTAATGTTTGTTTTAAAAATGTAAGGAATAGAAATCACAGATACTTGTGTGAAAATGTAATGAGTAGAAGTCAGAAGTAGTAAGAAAAATAAGTAATGGAGTAAAGTATAGATACATAAAAAGTGTATTTAAGTACAGCAGTGAAGTATTTGTACTTTGTTAGTTTACACCTCTGGTAGTCTGTATAATTTTCAATAATTTATATGGTCAGTACATTTCTGCAGTGCAAGTGGAATAACCCAAGTCAACTACTGTGTAGTCTTCCCTTAGCTCTCTGTGCAGATATATTTTTTTTATATCTAAGGGAAACATATTACAGGTCATTACAACTGTGTTCTTTGTAATGCATTTTTGGTACCATATACAATCTTTTTTATATTGCCTGTTGTATTTTTATCTTTAACGGCATCTTGCTCTCTTTGTACTCTATATAAGCTACTGGAACGAGTATTTCCCTGAAGGAGTAATCCCAAGGGAGATAAAGTTGAGTCTAAGTTTAAAAAACAAATAATTTGTTTCAGTTTATTGTAGGCAATAATCCATCAAATAACATCAAATAATCATATTTCAGGACAACATTTCTAAAGAGTTTACATCTCAAAATGTTTCAAAGTCAGTTTATTCACCTTTCATGTTCTGGTGTTACATTTGTTTTTCTCTAATCCGCTGAACTTTTGCATTCATAAACACTTTGCCTGCACTTTGCATTAGAGAAAGAGCCATACAGGATTTTTAAGGCCAATGCAGATTATTTTGACATTAGTCTAACCTATTCCTGACATTTCCTGCCAAATATATATATATATTTTTTTTAATGCTCAGTGATCCTCTCTTCATTAGAACATGTTCTTAAAAATGAATTATTTGTTGCCTTCACTACGGAGCATTAGCCTGCCTCTTTGTAAAGCAAACTGGTATGCAAATTTTTATATACCAACAGCCATGTGACTTTTCAACACTCTGTAGTGTGGCTGTTTTAAAACTGGGCTATCATTTCCTATTTTTTTGTCTTTTTTTTAATATAAAATCTGCTCACCAAGTTCCCTTGCGTGTATTTTCTTTTTATAATTTTTATATATTTTTAATACTATATTATATGTTTATTTTTATTTGTGCCAGTCAAACAAATTTCTAAATCTAAAGTCCCTTAAAATACTTAATAATTATTTACTTTGCAGTAAAGGATGATTGAACTAAATTTATTGCAGGAACTACCAAATAGTGTTGGCTGGTTCTGAGTGCGACCTCCTCAGCTTCTCATCAGCTGCTGTCGCGGTTGCCTAGAGACCAACTCTCCCTATTTCCCATGTTAACCCCTGATTCTACACCACTTCCTCAGAAGGAAACACTTTCAACTACCCAGATGTGAGAGGGAAGACGCAAACCCATTGCTGAACAGCATCAGTGAAGATTAGTATCAGGAAAATCAAAATATGTTGGGCTTTCAGCAAGTTTGTGAAGCAAAGTGGATCATTCATGGCCCACAATTCAGCAGGAGAGAAACATAACAGACCCAAAAGAACGCAGAATCACAAGCATCAACCCTTAACTTCCTGACCATTCCCTGAAGCTAATATGGTACAGAGTATTATATTGTTGTTATTATTGTTTATGTGGAAACTCTGTATGTATTAGATAATAAGTGGTTATTTAAAGAGTAAATCATATTATATATTATAAAAAATAATACATGGAAATAAATATTATATACATTTGCTTACATTTCCCTGTTTAAAAAGTTTATTTTGTGCATATTTTTTGTGTGTTTTCTTTTTCTTTGGGCTTAGTATTCAGATATTAAAGAATAGGAAGTTATCAACAAAGTCTGATGTCACAGAGAATGCAGATGAGTTTCTGCTGTCTTATAAATACCATAGTATGATTTTATGAGCATTTAGTACAGACAAGTACTATTAAGTTATGTTAGATATATTTTTAAATGGTTCTAATTTACACTTTCAATCCCAATCCAACTTTATAGCCCTTTAAAAACCAAAAGGACTATATGCTGCACAAAAGCAGAAATACAAACACAGTTATTAGTTTAATAATACAATGTAGAATCAGTTAGTAAAAACAATGTAGAAAATTAATAATTATGAAAAAAACATAAAATAAACCAACACCAACTTCCTCTTGAGTTTTAAATTCCAGAGAGAAAAGCAGAGACTTTAAAAGAGATTTAAAAATGGTCGAAGAGGAAGCATGCATGATCTACAGTGGCAAATTGTTAACTGACCCCTCTAGATGCTAGTGCCATGTGGTATATTGTGTAGCAGACATGTGTAACTGTGCAATAACTGTTGTGTGCATGGGGCACTTTATTATATCTACTAATTTTTTGCATTATATTTGCAGCAGTTTTTTTTACAATGAAATGTCCATTGCTAACTAAGGATTTTAAGCTTTATTTGGAGAAATTGCTCTCTTGAATAGCTCTCGTGTTTTGGACATATGAAAGCCGTACATGCATGTGGAGAGCATGCATCCATCCATCGTCTATACCTGGTTGTCCATGCAAAGCTGGGACAGACCTGGCACCCAACTAGGTGATCATATGGGGTTGTAGAAGGAGAACTCCAAATAAAATGGCTCATTCCACTGCTACCTATCATAACATAAAAAAGAATCTAAATACATCGTAAAACATATGCATAAAACATTGTGAAGCTATGTACAGATTTAAACATACTTATACAATACGTAGTTCTATTAGTATCCAAAACTAATAATTAAAGAAAAGTCTAGGTTTGATTTCAAATCACTTTGTAAAATGAAATCACACTAGCATCACACTAAATAAATTCTTATGATAAGTTCTTGTACGTGAATCCTAATGGGTGATTAACAGTTGACATCATTGTATGTAGCTTATGGTGTTCCCCTGGGGTCAGTATTAGGATCGATAATGTTTATTTTATACATAGATTAAATATAAAGTTTCAAAAGTATTTAATGACTCTATGAATCTGTCAAGGGGTAAAAACGTAGGTGAAACTTGAACAAGAGAATGCCAAAAAATATTCTAAAGAAAGCCTAAGTGAGCTTTACTTAAGGCTGATTTATACTTCGAAACTAGTTCCTCTGTTTAGGCATCGCAGAGAGCAAAAAGACGTCCCCGCCCCCTCTAGAGACACTCTGCTGCACCACTCCAAAATTGTAGCTGACCGCAGACAGTGCCGCAGACAGGAGGCCGGCTTGTTTTGTTTTTATGACCGAAATTGCTGAAAACAACTTGCAAAGTTGGAGCAGCTAGAAGAGCGAGGTGCGCGAGAACGCTGGGACCCTTTTTCCACCAGGATCCCTGCTATTTTTCGCCGTCATGTCCGTCCGTTGTCGGAAAAACTCACCCTCAATTCCTCACCTCCTCGGCCGTATCTAGACCAACAGCTATGTCTTGTTTGTACATGTGCCGTGGATTAACATAGTGCAGACCACGCTTAAAAATTGGGCATAAATCAAAAATATCTGCGACAAGCTCTCTGCGACACACTGCTGCGGGAGTATAATGGTTAACATCAGCCAGCGCTGCTGATTCTGGAGGCCCTGGGAAGATTGGATTGACATAGCAATGCACTATGGCCGCCGTATCTAGGCCAACAGCATATAGCGCAAACCACGCTTCAATACTGGGCATAAATCAAAAATGTCTGCATCAAGCTCACTACGACACACTGCACACTGCTGCAGGAGTATAACCGTGCCATTATCCTCCACATAAGACACCAAGCATACTATAAGGCATCAAACTCAAAGACAGGAGAGTAGCAATCCACATGTATTCAAAACCACGAACAAAAGCTTCTTTCTTTAATATGAGCTAAAGGTAAGCAACTAGGTTCTACTGAGAGTTGAACTCAGATCACTGGTTTCAAAGTCCAGAGTGCTAACCATTACACCATAGAACCCTCAGA